AAATATATTTTGAGAGGTTTCTCTTAGAGTTCTTTTAGAACTAATTTCTGAACTTATCGGAACTTCATCCGTGGCGTTCAAACTTGACTTATCTAGTGTTGATTCTGCACAACACTTGTGGCGTCTTCGATCACCCTACGTTTCTAAACCAGGTTCACTTGGGGTTTAAGACTGTTCATCTCGAACGCTTGCTTAGGTTTCATATTTGCGAGTTGTTTAGGGGTTTAGGGAACTCATCCACCGCCTATCGAAAAATCTATCGATCTTGGGATCATATCAATTTTCTTCCTCATAGATCGAACCCCTGAATATCTCTGGAACGACACATTTCATGATCATCAAATTCATACGGTTTGATTTCTCCTACTTCTTATGATAAGTACGTAGTTCAGACATACTTTCCGCAGTTAGATAAACAAGAGCCTTTTCCCGCAGTGCAAGGTCAATGTCCATGCATCCGAGAACGATCATGAAGCTATCCTTCTATGCCTTAAAGTTTCCTCCGGTTAGCATGGGGATGGAGTTGATCGAGGATGTGATGTTTCTTACTGAAAAAGGAAAGTAAGCAACATCAGTTCACAATAAACGTAAATAAGATATAAGGTAATGATAACAATGATGTGATATACCAAATAACATTGGACCCCATCTTTGCACAATAGTACCAACTTATCAGCGGTGATATTACTGCAATGATCAAACACTGAAAATCGAATTCAACTACCAAAACCTTAATTCGGGCCAATTTTGTTAGCCGAATATCTATATGATAATCGTATTTATTATCGCATGTATGTTCGAGGTTCTGCCAAATATTTTTCGTCTTTTGTATATCGTTCCATATTCGCATGAAGATCTCAACATATTGAATATACTTTAAATATTTTTCGATAGAGTTACCCTTTTGGCAAGAGAGCTCACTTTTGCGAGATGTCATCGCAGAATAACCTATCGAGAAACATAATATTTGTTATCATTGAATATCGTTTTACCATAAAATCCCTCATAGATTTTATTTGTGAACTTTATCAAATTTTTATGAAATTTGATGTTATAATTTATTCGGACTTAATTGCAATAACATGCTGTCAGTGCTAGCACATGGCAAGTAACATATGTGGCTCAGTGGTTGCGTGTGTCCCTCAGCTCACTCCTGATTTGGGTTCAGACATGGGCACTTGCACTTGCAACATTATTGTTGATTTATTCTCTTGCTATCGCAAATTGGGCCCTTAACTTGGCCTGCCGAATTTCAGCCCAAATTTTCATATTTTTCAAAAAATATGACGCTTCGGTCACCATGCTGCATCACACCCTTTTCGAGATATCATATGGGCTTTAGCCTAAGTCCACAAACAGAATTTGAGATTCATTAAGAGTGACAAGACGATTCGATCAGAAACTATTTCGTCTTGTTCCTTCTCTCTCTTCAGAGAGATTTTCTCTCTTCGATCTTTAGAGAGATTTTCTCTCTGAAAAACTCTTTTTTTTGTTTGAATTTCCTAGATTTTGGTTGAACTAGGGTTCCATTTTTTCGAAGTTTCCTTCTCTGATTTAAGGTTTTTTGGCTTTTAGTTTCTTTTGTTTTGGCTTTATTTTGCATGGTTTTGTCCGAAAAATCCAAACTTTATGATTTTGGTTTCCAAAATCAGAACACCTATTTAAGGGTTCATGGATTCTCGGTTCAACTTGCAAACTTTCCTTTTTGTTCTCATATTTTCGAAACATTCTCCGAAAAATTGGAATAGGAAAGCTCCGTCGTTTCATATTTCTCTTTTGGTTTTATTTTCTTATTTTTTCTGTTTGAATCTACATATAAATACGCATATTCAAACATTGATCTTGAGATCAGAACGTATATCTGCAGATTCAGAAATAAAATCGAGGTTTTAAACTTCCGAAACTATGTCCTCTTTTAATGTCCTTTATTTTCAATTATTATTTGGCGAGATCATCGTTGGTTTGCATGATCGGAGCCTCTGGTTGGTAACAGTCGGCTTCATCACTTTTCTGGCGAGTTCAACGTGTCAAATCTTCTAAACTGAATATACATATTCTTATCACGAAATGATCTGCGTCTATTTCGTTCAACCTTGGACATGATTTGTTTTGTCTTTCCGGGATTTCAAAAATACACAGTCACATGTGCATGGCTCGAAAATCGGCATTGGAGCCTTTGTCAAGCATTTTGACTTGTATTTTAATTTTTTCGCGTCTTCGCGACTTTACAGTCTGCGCCACTTCGAGTTTTCGGTTCCGGTTTAGTCCAAAATCTAATGCTCTTGGTTCAAACGTATCCCATTTCGGTTTTCTATTTTCTAGTTCGTTATTAACTCGAATGGTTTACCGTTCTTATGGCTCGTTTGGACTTGGTTAATTGACAATCTGAATATTTTGTATCATTCGATAGTATAAATAAAATGATAATGTTATCAGTTTTCCGTGTTTATCGTAAAGATTAATATTGAACTTAATTACAAATGTTAATCCAATAGATAAATTTTTAAATTATAAATATCAATACATCAATTTTTTTAAATATCAATTAAAAATATTCAAAATCTTAAAAAAACGTTGTAACCATCCACATCATTAAAATTTGAAAAAATAACATTTTCCTATGCGAATTTAGCAAAATGTGACCTTTTCATACACATATTTTTAATTTGACAAAAAACTATATTTGAATCCAAAATTTTCCAAATGTATATACGAATTGTTATAATTAACAATAATTATATACATAATCATCATTTTCTTTAAAAAAATTTGGATTCCGTTAACTAGTGCATTGGTTAGGTAATTACTATAACTACCATACACGTTAGTGCATTAGTTAATAAAATCCGAAAAAGTTTAATGAAAATAATGATTATGTATGTAATTATTGTTAATTTTAATAATTCGTGTAGATATTTGGGAAATTTTGAATTCAAAAATATATTTTTTTTATTAAATTAAAAATATGTGTATACAAAAATTATATTTTGCTAAATTCGTATAAATTCGTATAGAAAAATGTGTCATTTTTCTTTAATTTTTTTTTTCTGACGAACTTCGTATGTAGAAAATCTAATGAACTTTGGTAGCGTACACACATATATATATCTATATAATTATACACATACATACGCATACACATATTATAATTATTTGCATGTTGACATGTGCGTGTGTGTAATGGCACTGTGCATGTGTGGGTGTACACAGCTCACTCACTTCTCGAAATTACAGATACTATTTGTTTATTCCGAAATTACCCCTGAGAGTTTGCTAAAATTACAGATACTGACATCGCAAGGACCGAACCGGTTTATATACTTTTTGTTTTATATCAGCGGTCTGAGTTTTGTGTTTTGGTACAAATTTAAATATTAACTGGAGAACCTTTTTGTGTTCTTGTTGCCAACAATTGTGTTATCATTGTAACTTTTAATGTATATCGAAGTTATTTTCGAATATCCAACTTGTATAATTTTAAATCATATATCGGTATAATATTTTTATATAGAGAAAATTCTATAAAAATCTATTTTTCTATTTAAATATATATGAGTCATTTAAAATTACAAAATTTTAAAATATTTATATATATATCTTGAATAAAATTAAATAGTTATTGAATTTCTATATTTTAATTTATTTAGAAAAATATTTAGAGATATCTTAAAATTCGTATATAAAATTTAAATAATTTAGAAATTTATATAAACGAAAAATTTTATTTTTTTAGATTTCAGAATTCAATAAATTAGAAAACTGAAAACTCTGCATAATAAAATTCAAGTTAGATTAAGCGATTCTCTTTGTATTGTAGAAACTATGAAAAGGAAAAAGTTATAAATGAATTCTAATAATATTTATTCCGATATGCATTTCTCTTTATCAATATTTAATAGACTATTGAATAGACTACCCACAAAATCAGTCTTGTAGTAACTAATTTGAATACATAGATATGTATTACATAATTAATAAAAAAATTATAAATATGTACTCTGAATTCAAACCTGTGTTATAATATGTTGACTGAATTTTTTATGTTATAATTAATTTTTTAGATAGTAATAAAATAAAATCGAAAAAATCAAATAATTAGAAGCATTAGCTTTAAAAAAACAAATATCTTAGTTCAATTGAAGAGAAAAAAAATGGGTTTCTCCAAAAAAGAAAATCAAAGAACTTGAAACATTATGAATACCTTACCGTTAAATCATAATTATTTATGGTTATAATTTATGTGTTTGGAATATCTAAATTTTATGATGTTGAAAAGAAAATAATATCGTTAAAAGAGAAAATCTAAATTTTATCACACACATATATATAATATAAACAAATTATGGTATTTGATTTGGTTTAATTATTGTTGAAATAATTTTTTTTTTCAGATTGATTCACGGAATCTTTGATAAAACTACATTCACTCTGAATTAGAAAACAGTCTTTCTAAAACTACATTCATACGGAACATATGACAAAGACAACACCCTTTTCAACTATCTACAACCGTTAGGTATTCCGATGGAGCTTGTTGAAATAATTGATAGGTTATAAAAATAGACTAATAGTTTGTATTTCAGTTAACCGGTTATTAAATATATAAAATCTGTCATTTTATATTTAGATTCCCCATTAGAATTAAAGTTTTTTTTTTATCACCGCTATTGGTTCCTTTCTTTTAATGTCATAGCAAACCGAATTTTAGTTCAGTTATTATATAATTATATTTTTATTACCATAATAGAACCAAACCATTATGTAATCATTCGCTTATAAATTTTTTTAGACCAAATAAATGACATTCATTAAATAACCAAACAGAAAGCGATGACATCTAATATTAGAAATATCTTACGCGACATACCAACTCCAGGGGTAATATCGTAATTCACGCGACAACGGGAACCGTCGGACCCCATGCGAAGCTGGCATCGATTTGGCGGATCCCTAAAACTTATCAAATCCTCTTCATAAATATTCCTTTTTTTCCCCAAAAAAAAAAAGAAAAGATCCACTCTTTGAGAAAGAGAGATCTGAACAAGAGCTCTCGCTTCTCATTTCCCCGATCTTCGTCCTCGATCGGCGTAATAGATCCTGTGGGAGCAGATCGAAGTCGGGTTTTTAACAGAGAGAGAATCAGGGTTCTTGAGAGAAGATGAGAGAGATAATAAGCATTCATATCGGACAAGCCGGAATTCAGGTCGGGAATTCATGTTGGGAGCTTTACTGTCTTGAACATGGAATTCAGCCCGATGGCATGATGCCCAGGTATAAATCTGATAATTTTGGGTAAATTATATGTTTGTCGTTCATGCGCTCTTGGGTTCCATTTCGTTAGAATTTTCAAATGTCGGATTGGCTTCACTAGGGTTCCATTTCGTTAGAATTTTCAAATGTCGAATTGGCTTCACTAGGGTTCGTATGTATGGTCTGAAAGTGATTCAATCACTGTTCTCTGTAATTTTTAGACCTCTGTTTTCATTTTCATTATGTTGTCCGAAAGTGAAAACTGGATTTTATGCATAACTCTACTGATACTCGTCTTGAACCTATCTGTACTTAAAATCTGTTGAATTCTTATAAATTGTGATCGTTTCGTTTGCACGGATTTCTCTATTCATTGTTCATTCGAGTACCTTTTGCATCAGATGAATGGTGATACTACAGATTATTATAAAGCATTGCTCTGTTTAGACTGAAGGATTAGTTTTTGCCTCTTAACAGTGACACTTCAGTGGGGGTTGCACATGATGCTTTCAATACATTCTTCAGCGAGACTGGAGCTGGAAAGCATGTGCCTAGGGCTGTTTTCGTTGACCTTGAACCTACTGTTATCGATGAAGTCAGGACAGGGACTTACCGACAACTTTTCCATCCTGAGCAGCTTATTTCCGGGAAAGAAGATGCTGCCAACAACTTTGCTAGAGGGCATTACACTGGTAAGCACTCGGGGTTGTTGCTGGCTTGAGATGTAGTTGTATCACTTTAGAATTATGGGTTTTTATGTGGTAATGTTTGTTCTGCAGTTGGAAAAGAAATTGTGGACCTTTGCCTTGACCGTGTGAGGAAATTAGCCGATAACTGCACCGGCTTGCAAGGCTTTCTGGTGTTCAATGCCGTTGGTGGTGGAACCGGTTCTGGGTTGGGATCTTTGCTGTTAGAGCGATTGTCTGTGGATTATGGAAAGAAGTCAAAACTTGGATTCACAATCTATCCTTCTCCTCAGGTAACTGTGGTTAAATGTCATGGTTGTGTTTTCCTTTCTTGCTGTTATATGTAGGAATCCGCCTACATGTTTATGTTTTGCATCTTGGCTGTAACTTTCTGCCTTTTGAACTCAGGTTTCTACAGCTGTTGTAGAGCCTTACAACAGTGTCCTGTCAACACATTCCCTCCTCGAACACACTGATGTGGCTGTCCTCTTGGATAATGAAGCCATCTATGATATTTGCCGGAGATCCCTAGATATCGAGAGGCCAACCTACACAAACTTAAACAGGTTGATATCTCAGATCATATCGTCCTTGACAACGTCATTGAGGTTTGATGGAGCCATCAACGTGGATGTCACAGAGTTCCAGACCAACCTTGTTCCATATCCGCGTATCCACTTCATGTTGTCATCCTATGCTCCAGTCATCTCGGCAGCCAAAGCATACCATGAACAGTTATCAGTCCCGGAAATCACTAATGCTGTGTTCGAACCAGCTAGTATGATGGCCAAGTGTGATCCGAGGCATGGAAAATACATGGCTTGTTGCTTGATGTACCGTGGAGATGTCGTTCCTAAAGATGTCAACGCTGCTGTTGGAACCATCAAGACTAAAAGGACTGTGCAGTTTGTCGACTGGTAAGGGATCCACCGTTTATTTTGCAATGTTTACAATTCTTTTTTTTTTGTTTTGTTCTAATGTACATACCGGGTTTTTTTTTTGTAAGGTGCCCGACTGGGTTCAAGTGTGGTATCAACTACCAGCCTCCAACCGTCGTTCCAGGAGGGGACCTTGCTAAGGTGCAGAGAGCTGTGTGTATGATCAGCAACAACACTGCGGTTGCTGAGGTTTTCTCGAGGATAGACCACAAGTTTGATCTAATGTACGCGAAGAGAGCATTCGTGCATTGGTACGTGGGCGAGGGAATGGAGGAAGGTGAATTCTCGGAGGCACGTGAAGATCTTGCTGCCCTCGAGAAAGATTATGAAGAAGTCGGGGCTGAAGGTGGGGACGATGAAGACGAAGGTGAAGAATACTGACATAAGGTTCAGTCTTGAGCTTTTTGGGTTTTTGGGAAATACTTTTGAATCTTGAATCTTGTTGTGTGATGCTTTCTCCATGTTTCTTAAATTATATGTATGTACAAGTTGCTGTGATGGTCTTAATTATGGTTGGTGAAAGTCTGCGGCTAAAAGAAACCATATATCCATTGGCTGTTTCCAATCATCAATTAATGTTCTTTCATTTGATTTTGATTTTTGGTTTGTGCTCTCTCATCTATTTAAACATCAACATTGCCTATTATTTGGGATCGATCTTATGAATTTTTCGTTTTCGCTAATTTTAATTCTTTCTGAATCGTTTATAAGTAAACCTAGGTTTACCTCTTTTTTTTCTCTTCGTCCCTTTTCTCTTCGTTCTGTTCTGTTTCCACGCGTATTTGAACGCCCCTCGTCTATACAAAGTTGATACTAAAATGTATGTTCTGAGCTTAGAGTCCGTTGTCAAGCATTTGCTAAGAAGGTACCCATCTGGTCGTACATACGAATACGATAGCTATGTTATAGAGATGTAATAATACGATGACTTGTATATATACAAAGAAGATATTCATAGTTATGAGAATAGACTACATCAAAATGCCAACATGCATTACAACAATCCGAGACATCTGTGACTGATGGGGTACCAAAAGAAGAATAAAATATCAAATACAGGATACTTTTATGCATTAAATCCCTCTACGGAGGAAAACACATCCAAAATTTCCGAATATGTTCACACAGGATATAAGTAGACAAAGGGAATTTGAAGAGATGCTGGCACTCTCTTCTTTCTTTTCCCCCTTTGTTGAATGAGAGAGGAGATCAAGCAAGTAAAAACACAAAACAAACAAATACTCAACAAACTTTTTTCCTTGCATTCATAGTTTTCTGGATTCCGACGAACCAAAAGAATGTGCAAATGAGAAAGAGAGAGATCTCATCAAAACTTCCCCGCTGACAAACTCAGCAAGCCCCCTCCTAATATACACTCTTT